CCTGTTTCTTCCCACTGCAACTATAGGACTTTAGGATATGATTGCACCTGGAACCATGGTTATGTTGCAGGCACTGTCGTTAATAATGAAACTGGCAATCTGGAGAGCAAAAAGAGGAATTTAAGAGCGGGAGTGGGGGAGTGGGATGAAGGATTAAGCCTTCTCCAGTTTTATATTCCTATATTAAGGAATGATTCTAGGAACAACTTGACTTACAAAAAATGATAACATTTTTGCAGATGAATTGCAGTGTTAAGTGTTTGGCATATGAGACTCAAATTCAGTAGAAAGCTAAGAGCTGCCCAGCTGAGATCTCATAAATTAAGATGCTGCTTTGCACACAACATGATATTAACTTACTCCCTTTAGGATGCCATCACCTTGAAACATTCTGTGGTTAGGAGGGATGATTTACTGAAATTTGAAAAAATCCCCTAAAGCAGAAGTCGCGACCTATGGCCTGCAGACTGGATGCAGCCTGCAAAACGATCCAGTATGGCCTGCAAAAGCTTAATGTGGCATGGGGAAGCCAGTGGTACAGAGATGCACTGTTCTGCCCATCCTCACTGCAGTGTTTCCTGCCACTGCAGAGCCTGCTACTCTACCACATCTGTGCTCACCCTTCTGCAGAGGGGCTAGAGATCAGCAGTGAGGTGCAAGAAGCTGACAACTCCAGGGGGTGGAGGCGTGGGGCCCATGGTGCCTCCTTAAATATCGATTATTGATATCAACCCCCAAAATCTCTATCAGTGCACCCCTACTGTTTAGCATTTCCAAATTACAGTATTTGGCAACAGAGAAGTTCTTATGCTGGTGCCACTTGTTAATGGAAGTGTGCTCTGTGGACATTAGGGTATTGAATCTTGGAATTTGTTTCTTTGTGGGTTTTTTAGGATTTATGTAAAGGGGGTTTCTCAAATACCCAACTTTAAGCCACTGAAATAAGACTTTATTCACATTTACACCATGGAACTAGAATTAATTAAGAAGAAGAAAGCTCAAATGATTTCTAGAATAGACCAGTACTAGGATAAACCAGCTAGTTGGAGTAGCTAGCTACAGGATGCTGTGGGTGAAAATGGAGACATAAATCTATGCTGAAATCTCTGTTTACAAGGCCAGAGCTTATAGCAGAGTCAGTAAATTTCTTTCATCTTTAGTTGCTGAGGTTCTACATAGGATGGTGTTTGAGTTGTTTAATAAATTCAAGACAAAATTGAAATACCAAACAGGCTTTAGTTTATAGTGTCCATGTATTATTCAGTGTATAATATTTTTCTACTAGGTTATTAAAGATTGTCTGATTAGGGTGGGTTTTCCTTTGTTTGCTTTATTTTCTCAAGTCTGTTTTTAGGAAGATCGGGGAGACTGCATGCATCTGATAAGGTAATGCTGCTATTTATTTGATATTCTACCTCAGAAACTGATCATTGATGAGAAGAAGTATTATCTGTTTGGGAGAAACCCTGATCTGTGCGATTTTACCATTGATCACCAGTCCTGCTCTCGGGTCCATGCTGCTTTGGTCTATCACAAACATCTTAAAAGGGTTTTCCTCATAGATCTTAACAGCAGTAAGTAACTTAAAGTTTAACCAGGGACAGTGTGGGGTGGTTTGTTTGTAAGTTGGATTTCAAAGATCTTCTGAAGAATGTTTGTGTGTGAAAGAAGATTGAATGACAGAAATCTTGTCACTCAGTAGAAATTTTATATCCGAGTACCAAAACATTCTTGAGTGTCCACAGAGCCATGGTATTTTCCATTTGCACATACCAGGTGCTAGGTGATGACAATCTGGATCAGCATCCTGAGGCTAGGTCAGGCTGGGGCTGGATAATGCTTATATATTCAGCTGGGTCTGAATAATTTCATAGTTTCATAGATTTAGGGTCGGAAGGGACCTAGTAGATCTTCTAGCCTGACCCCCCGCCAGGGCGGGAGAACAACAAAACCCCAAAACAAGAAAGGGACTCAAATGAGTCCAGCCAGGTAGGCATCCAGCCTCTTCTTAAAGACCCCCAGGGTAGGGGCCAGCACCACTTCCCTTGGAAGTTGGTTCCAGCTCCTAGCCGCCCTAACTGTGAAGTAGTTTTTGCGGATGTCCAATCTATACCTCCTCTCCATCAACTTGTGCCCATTACTCCTTGTTATGCCAGCGGGCGCTAGGGGAAACAGCGTCTCCCCCAAACCCTTCTGGTCCCCCCTAGTGAGTCTATAGACGGTCACCAGGTCCCCCCTCAGCCTTCTCTTGTGGAGGCTGAATAGGTTCAGGTCCCGCAGTCTCTCACTGTAGGGTCTGCCCTGTTGTCCCCGGATCATGCGGGTGGCCCTCCTCTGGACCCTCTCCATATTGTCCACATCCCTCTTGAAATGGGGCGCACAGAACTGGACACAATACTCCAGCTGTGGCCTGACCAGCGTCGCGTAGAGGGGGAGGATCACCTCCTTGGCTCTACTCGAGATGCACCTGTGGATGCACGACAAGGTCCGGTTAGCCCTGCCAACCATGACCTCGCATTGTCGGCCCATGTTCATCTTGGAGTCAATAATGACTCCAAGATCCCTTTCTGCCTCCGTGCTCTCAAGTAGGGAGTTCCCCATTGTGTAAGTGTGCTGCTGGTTCCTACTGCCCAAGTGCAGCACCCTGCACTTGTCCGTATTGAAACGCATCCTGTTCCTGTTAGCCCACCCCTGTAACCTATCCAGATCCTTCTGCAATCTCTCACTCCCTGCTAGCGTGCTCACCTCCCCCCAAATTTTGGTGTCATCAGCGAATTTAAACAGGTTACTTTCCACCCCATCATCTAGATCGCTGATGAAGAAATTGAACAGCGCAGGCCCCGAGCGCAGGCTTGTATTACTCATGTGACCCCTTTCTCATCTGGCATGAAATGCACAATTTTCTAGGCTCTGGAGTAGTTGAAGGAGAGGAAGAAGTTTCCTGGTTTCCTTCTTAACTACATCAGAAGTTTCTTCATAATTCTCATTGAAAGGGCATTACCATTCAGTAGGGCAGTTTTCCAAAAGGTGGAGCCCAGGGGAGGTCTGTTCTCTATGAAAAGGGTGGATATAGGTGGGTTACCGTAGAAGTTAAAGGAATCCTGAAATGGAATGGCACTTGTCACTTCTACTCCTGACTTGTTGGGAAGAGCTGACACTTCAGAGTCTGGGTGTTTGTCCAGTGCTTGAATGAAAGAGTTTGCTGTATGAAGTTACCTCAGTGACACACAACTCAAGGCACAGGTGCTGAATTTCTCGATAGCTAAGCTGGAATGTTGGAAATCCCAGACACGTCAGTGACAGCTAACCAACTGTTTCTTTTCCATTCTGATGTTCTCTTCAGCACATGGTACATTCTTGGGTCATATACGTTTGGAACCTCACAAACCCCAGCAGATTCCCATTGACTCCACGGTTTCATTTGGTGCCTCTACACGAGCATACACTCTGCGAGAGAAGCCTCAGACGCTGCCATCAGCAGTTAAAGGAGATGAGAAGATGGGCGGTGAAGATGAGGAGCTCAAAGGCTTGCTGGGCCTGCCAGAGGAAGAGACAGAGCTTGATGTGAGCACTGCAGAATATTGAGATTCTAGATCGGGTGGGCAGTTATTTGGGCCCAAGGGCCGTGTATGGAGTTATGCTGAGCTGTCACAGGAAGGTTATGCTCAGCTGTCACCACCTTTGTGGGGCTTTGGGTGGGCAGGGAGCTGTTTTTAGGAGTAGGGTAGGTGAAGCCAAGATCACTGAGCTAGGTCGCAGGGTGGTGACAGCTCAGGGCAGGGGCCCAGGCTGAACTGCGGTCTGCTCCCTGCCTGCTCCTGCCCTGTGGTGGGGTGTGTATGGGAGTGAGAGGCATGTTGTTGTGGGGAGGGAGGAGCTGCCTGGGCATTAGGTCCTGGGAGCCAGCCAGATGTGAGGGGAGGGGAGGGATCGGGAGGCAGGGGGCACGTGCACCAGAGCTTGCCTGGGTGGCGGGGTCTGGCTGTTTTCACGGTGCTCCACGTGGGGTTGAGCCCTACCTGGGGCAGCCCACACTGCGGACCCCCTGGCCTGGGCCTGGCCTGTGCACAGCTTCTGGTGGGTCTATTCCTGGTGCAGCTGCAGCCAGCTGGATGCTGCTCTGCTCCCCTCACCTTCAGCGTGAGCCACCTGGCTGTAGTTTCTCCCACCTGCCCACCCATAGCAGTGCAACAGGGGGCAGAATGGAGGTGAGGGGAGCAGAGCAGTTGCTCTTCACATTGGGTGGGCAGAGTGGGTGGAAGGCAGCCAGGAACTGAAGCTGGAGCCCCATGCACTGAGGCAAGAGCTTCCCGTCTGAACCTCCCCCTCTACTCAGAGGGGCAGAGGCAGGAGCAAGAGGAGGAGCCATCAATGGAGGCAAGAGGAACAGAACAGCCCTGCCAGCCTGTGCCCAGGTCACCACACTTAGCTTGCAGCATGGCAGTTCCTGGTGCAGCTGCAGCTGCAGCTGGCCAGGTGCTGTTCTGCTCCCCTTGCCTCCAGCGGCAGCTCCTCCTCCCACTCCTGCCCCTGCTGCACTGCTCCAGGTGGACAGAGGGGAAGCTTTGGCTGGGCATTTCCTGCCAGAGGCAAGGGGAGCAGAGCAGCACCGGGAGCAGCTGCACCAGAAGCTGCACATGCTGGTTAGGGCTTGGGCCAGTGGGCACAGGCAGGAATATGGCACAGGTGCCCAGCTGCGGGTCACATCCAGTTGGTTAGCAGGCTGTATGTGGCCCACAGGGCATATTTTGCCCACTCCTGTTCTAGATGGATGATATTCTTGTCCTTTAGTTAGTGATATTAGGTCTGTACATTTCCTGGTCTTGAAGGTTGTTTAAGAGGCATTTG